ACGATCAAGTTGCTTTGATACGCAGACTTCAGGAAACCTACGTCAACTCCAAGTATTATGAGGTCATTCCGTTCAATGCTATTGTCAGGGACATGTTGGAAAAGGCCGGCGACTGGGACACCTCGTTCACAAAGTTCGAGACCGACTTTCTTCCTGACAAGGACCTGCGCCAATTGACAATGATCCAACTCAAAAAGATTTTCACCGACAACGAATCGAGGGAGTCTCTTCCCTCAACAGATGGCAACTCAACCGTTGAGTCTGGGGAACCTCCTTCTCAAACCTTCTCCGATGTAGACGAGAAGGTTTCCACTCAACCCACGGACCCGACCGAACCGCATCAGGATGGGGTCGTGGGGTCAGTCGAGGACGAGCAAGAGAAACAGGAAGAGCTCGAACAGGAGGGACCGAAAGAAGAAGAGGAGGAGGAGGAGGAGTCTTCCACATCGTCAGAGCCTCAGAAGGAACCAGAACAAGCCGAAACAAAGGATGAGGTTGTTGGCCGAGAAGCTCCAGAGGAAGCTGGCAAGATTGATGCTCCAGCCGATACTGCACTTGAAAGAGTGGAATCCCTGGACTTAGCCACCCCGGGCTCGCCGAAAGCCAAAGGGCTCGTCTCGTTTGCTCCTATTGACGAAGCCGGGCAGATTTCAGCAATGCCTGGCAATGCCGAGTCGACATACCCCCTCGTGGCCAGGCCTCCGCTTACTACGACATCAACTAATATTTCCCTCTCTGAGAAGGTTGAACAGCTTCGTCGTGAACAACAGGTTATGGGTGCCGAAACATCACAAACTGGTGATGCATCTGAAGCACCCAAAACAAACCAGGAACGAGGCTTGGCTCGTAGGGCACCGATGGTTAGAACCCTGTCGCAGCCTGCCCAAACACTACCGAGGTCCCAGTCGGGCTTTGCCAAATCAATCGTGCCGAAGGACACCATGGGAGCCGAGACTCTGGGTGAGACATCATTTAAGGTGGAAAAGAAACCGTTCGATCGACTGGCGTTGGGAATGAAAAGCCATAGGAAAGCTGGTCCCTCTTCAATACCTCGGCTCATCACCAAGAAGAAAGATACTCATATGGCGTCCCAGGTTTCTAGAATTGCCCGGCACTTTGAACAGTTGAGCCGTGAGTTTGAGAAGGAAAGACAACGAGAAGACCGCAGGAAGCGCCTCGCCAAGGGCCATCAGCCTCGTGCAGGTTTGCCACGTTCTGCCACCAAGGCTATTGTGGAAGTCTACCACAACATTGACAATGCCGTACAAGAAGCTGGGCCATCGAACACAGAGCATAACGAGATCAAGATTCTTGAACCCAAGCCGGCGCCAGTCAATCCAGCACCTCACGGAACTGTGCAAACAGAACCCGACAGTCCACCGAGAGAAGAGTCCGATCTTGCACCAGAAGCTGCTCCCCCCACCGAAGAGCACCAAGTTGGTGGGGAGACGGACGACACTGCGACAGTTACAGCTAGCCACGGCGGATCCGACGACGAAGGGCAGAGCGACACTGAACAGTCCATACTGGACGATCTGCTGCCCGACGTTAAGGAACTGGCTGACTCTCTTGAACCCAGCACGGAGATTCCACTGGAACTGCCGAAGCATCAGAAAACTAGCCTTATGAAGATGCTCACTAACTTTTGGGCTGAACGATCTGCCAGTGGGTGGCCTCAACTGGACTATCCAGTCAACGCAAGCGATCATATATTCCTCGATTCCGATGTAATTGTGAGGGAGGACGAACCCAGTTCTGTTATTGCATTTGCCCTGAGTTCTGACGACTACCGCACAAAACTGGCTGATATTCGCCGCCAGGAGCGAATGGCGATACACAATGATTATGAAGCCAACTTTGATGCCAAGTCTTCAGGACTGTCTGATACAGGCGGCGAGTTGATGATGGAAGAGGGCGAGCTGGAGAAGAGTCTTCTCAGAGCAACGGGCACGCATCTGAAATATCAGTTCAAGGAGGGGTCTGCAACTATGCTCTGCAAAATTTTCTACGCTGAGCAGTTTGATGCGCTGCGTCGCAAATGCGGCGTTGCAGATCGCATCGTCGAGTCGCTCTCTCGCTGCTTGAAGTGGGACTCCAAGGGCGGCAAGACAAAGTCGGTCTTTCTCAAGACTCTCGACGACCGCTTGGTCTTAAAGGTGAGACGCGTTTGCTCTTTGCCTTGTTACTTGTTTGACGGCACCCATCTACTCTGTTCGAAACGAAATCGATGGCTGACAGTTGACACAGGGCCTATCACCCATTGAGACGTCGGCTTTCCTGCGATTTGCGCCAGCTTATTTTGGTATCATGGCCGAGGCTCTGTTCCATGACTTGCCTTCCGTCATCGCAAAGATGCTGGGGTTCTTCCAGCTGATCATCAAGAACCCGGTCACAGGCGTCGAGATCAAGTTAGACCTGCTGCTCATGGAGAATCTCTTTTACGATCGCAGTCCGACTCGGCTTTTCGACCTCAAGGGTTCCATGCGCAACCGCAAAATCCAGTCCACTGGCGAGCAGAACGAGGTTCTTCTGGACGAGAACATGGTGGAGTTCATTTACGAATCGCCGTTGTTTGCACGCGAGCACTCCAAGAAGCTTCTGAGAGCATCCGTAAGTTGACAGCATTAAATGTGAGAAAGCAAGACGCTGACACTTGTCCAGGTCTGGAACGATACTTTGTTCCTCGCAAGACAGAACGTGATGGATTACTCATTGATGATTGCCGTAGATGAAGCCAGAAAGGAGCTTGTTGTGGGCATCATTGACTGTATCCGGACGTACACATGGGACAAGAAACTCGAGAGTTGGATCAAGGATCGTGGTTTCGCGGGCGGTGGCAGAAACCGTCCCACCGTGACGAGTCCGAAGGAATACAAATCTCGTTTCCGGGAGGCGATGGCCAGGTAATTGCCCATGGATCCCCTCCTAGTTTTTTGGAATCTCATCAGTTGCTCACATGATGCCAGATACATCCTCCAGGCGCCAAATTGCTGGCATCAGTTCGGAGTGCCTCAAATCACAAACAGCATGAGGCCACGATTCGATTTCGATACCAAGCCCGAGTAACAATATCAACATATATCGGCATCAAATGGTACGACACACATTCAAGTCTGACGGGATCAGTTGTTGTGCTTAACAAAGGGGTGAGACTTGCATTGTATTGCCGGCGTTCCCCCCTCCCCAAAATGTGGACGGATTGACGGGTGGATGGAAGGGTAGATGAGCATGGAGTCGGTCCAGTTTTAGCAATGGTTGGCACCTTGAGCATCACCAGAACAAAGTATCTTAGCATTACAGCGTTGACGAGTAACGGCCTTGAATTTCAGATACCCGGTAATGAAATAGATGACCGCTGAAGAATTTAATGCACGTCGGGGAGATACCCATGACAGCACTTCTTGTGGAAGCTGTGCATGAGAGTTGGCTCGGGATGTTGTCGCAGCACCGACACCGGGTGAAGAAAGCGCAGCCACTGTACCGCTTAATACCCAGTGACTAATGGTCCACTGGAAACTGGGGTTTAGTACCTCTCAGGTCTTCGACACGGCCTTTAGCTAGGCATTAGAGCCCTCCGTCAGGTTGCAGACGGCAACCCTGTCTAACACCTTGGCTGTATCAACTGATACCATCTTCATCTCTCGCATTTCTTCACTCACAAACCACAGTTGTAATGTCAATAGACCTCAACTGGGAGACGCTCACAACGGGCCCCGACGGGGAGGCCCTAGCCCTCCGCATTCGCGACTTCATCCACACCAAATTTCAGGCCGTACCATTGCCGCGCTTCATCAAGTCGGTCAAAGTACACGACTTCGAGTTCGGCGCCATCGCCCCGGAGCTGGAGCTCAAGGACATCACCGACCCCTTGCCAGATTTTTACGAAGACAACCCGGAAATCGAGGATGACGAGGAGGAGGAGAAGGCCCTCGATGAACCGCCGCAGCTGCAGCACTTCCCCAAGAGCGAGCTGAGCGCTGGTGAGAGGAGGAGGCAGCGCGAGGAGGCGTCGATGCCGCCGAGGCTCAGCATGCACGCACTCAGGGGCCAGTCTGGAGACTTCCCAAGTCCATTCCTGGGCGTCTCGACGCCGGGGATCTTGGGCGGCACGTCCAACCTGCACTATTTCCAATCGCACTTGGGGAACGGGTGGTCGGGGACGCAGACGCCTCTCGCGGCGGTGGCCGGCGCGCACATGGGCAGCAGGCTCGACTCGTCGGCCATTCGGTCGTCCGTGGGTTCGCCTCGGATGGCCCACAGCCGTAACCCCTCGCAGAGCTCCATCTCTGTGAGCGACTTCAACCCGACGCTGGCGCAGCTGCGCGAGAAGTCAAGCGTGTCGACACTGGCGCCGACCTCGGCGGGGGCCTCGAGGCCGCCGACGCGAGATGCGCACCTGGCCGGGTCGGCGATCCAGGAAGAGGACGAGGAGGGGCCGGAGCAAGGCGGGGAAGGAGACGAGCCGCGGTTCAGGGAGCCGAGGCCAGAGGACTTGCAGGCCGTGTTTCGGATCCGGTACGCAGGCGATGTGAGGCTGCGGCTGACGGCGGAGATTCTTCTGGACTATCCGATGCCGAGCTTCGTGGGGATCCCGGTGCAGCTGAGCGTCACGGGGCTGACGTTTGACGGGGTCGGGGTGATGGCGCACATCCGCAAGAGGGTGCACTTCTGCTTCCTCAGTCCCGAGGACGCCGTCACGGCGGTGGGCGCGGACGACGCGGGCCCCAGCGAGCCCGGAAAGAGGTTTGGCGGGCTGCTGCAGGAGATCCAGGTCGAAAGCGAGATCGGGCTCCGCGACGGCGGGAAGCAGAGCCTGAAGAACGTGGGCAAGGTGGAGAGGTTCGTGCTGGAGCAGGTGAGGAGGATATTCGAGAACGAGTTTGTGTATCCCAGTTTCTGGACGTTCTTGATCTGAGGGGGCTTCTAGGTCCGCTGCTGTATTCTTTACGAGGACATGAAAAGCATAATTATTGGGGATTTCAGAGGCAGGCGAATACGCGAAATCTGCTATAGCTCCGTTCTTCATTGGTATCTATCTTCGAAAAGACTAAAACAACGCTACCTGCGTGATGGCTCTTTCTACGTCAGAGTACTCTTGAAGCCCTGGTAAGCCTGTTGGATGTCCATCTCGAGCTCGCGGGCCTGCTGCTCGCTCAGCTCGTCTGTGGCCTTCATCTGGTTCAGAGTGATAAGCCACTGCACAATCTTGCCCCTATTGTCGAAGTCGCGGTCCGTCACTTTGTTGACCGACTGGATGACGTCGGACAGCAGGGGATGCAGCTGGTCCTTGGAGAGCAGGCCCAGCTTGACAGCGTCCAGGAAGGTGATGAACTCCTGCGTCGCCTCCAGGATCAGCGTTCCGCTCGTGTTACCGGCGGCCGACGGCGCCGGGGCGGCGCTTGATGAGGCGGTCACAGTTGTCGAAGGCATGCCAACGCGAATGCGCTCCGTTGCGCGGGGGACCTCGAGCTGTTTGGGGCGATAGGGGTCAGCTTTAGAGCAGAAGGTGGGTGGTCACGATAAAAAAAGGGGGGGGACGGCTCACATCCCACTCCGCCTTGAACTCCTCCAGGCCCCGAAAGGCCTTAGACACGGTCTCGTCTGCCAGGATGGATTTGTACTGCTTCAGGGACCGCTCGCAGATCTCGGTATAGTCGGCTTCGGGAATCGCATCCTTAAGAAAGGCCTTTTCGAGCTCGTCAAGGGTGACAATGATGCTGAATATCTCAGCGAGCGAGTCCTGTAAATCGCGCTCGGCGCGTGTGTCGGCTAACTTGACCTCCTGTCGAGATGCATCGTTGGGTCAGCTGGGACCGGAGTCGTCTCTGCGGGGGCGGGGCAGCTGGAGGAGGGGGAGGGGGATATGCAGCGCCCTCTGGAAGGCTGAAGGTTGTGAAAGACGAACCTCATCTAGATTAATGGTAGCTGAGAGTGTTGTGTTTGGGATGTAGCTATGCGGTGTTGGTGCATAGGGCTGCCGGGGCATCATCTTCGCGGCTGTGTTGGGATCGCGGCCGGCTTCATAGTCGATCGATCAGCAGCTGGGGAGCTACTGAGCTGCCGTTACGTGTGTCACAGAGCCAAGGACGTCAGACACCAGGCGTGACATGGCCCATTTCTCAGAGGTTCAGACATTTAGACCGCTAAGACGTGGGGCAATGTCTCCAAACGCTATTCTAAAAGAGGGTTAGCGTGATACCGATAAGCCCCGATAAGCTCGAAAATTTTTGGGCAAGAGCGAACCGTTCTCTGCCATTGAGAGAAGAAGGTCTGAAGAAAGTTTCCCGCGTCCACCGTTCACGGTCCCTGCAGCCAAAACTTCCTTTACCATCATCCACCGCGAGAGACCCCCCTAGGCAGAACGGAATTTTCCCCTCCCTACCGTTCACCATGGGTTCTCAAAAGAAGAACCTCAAGGCGACGAAGAAGTTCGAAAAGAACCACCTCAAGGGTGTTCTGGACAAAAGGAAGGAATCCGCAAAGATCAAGCAGCGAGTCCAGGTCAAGGCCAAGAAGCAGACAAAGAAGACCAAGGACTCCGAATTCTTCAAGAATGATGAGGCTGCTGCCAAAGCCAAGGCTAATGGCCACCAGAAGGACGCCAAGGTCAGCGCCATGAGCGTTGACGACTTCTTCCAGGGCGGCTTCGAGGATATCATCGAAAAGAAGGACAAGAAGGCGTCGAAGAAGCTCGGCAAGCGGAAACGCGATGCGCCTGTGGAAGAGGGATCCGACTCGGACTCAGAAGAATTCTCCGCGGAGGAGCAGCCTGTCGCAAGCGATAGCGAGGACGCCGGCAGCGAGGACGATGACGAGAACCTTGGCATGACCAAAGAAGCCATGGAAAAGCTCGCCGAGAACGACCCCGAATTCTACAAGTTCCTCAAGGAGAACGACCCGGAAGCCCTCGACTTTGACGAGAACGCCGATCTTGCCGAGGTGGACGAGCTCAGTGCCGGCAGCGATCACTCAGACGACGACGAGCAACCGAAGAAGAAGCGCAAGAAGGACTCCAAGAAGAAGGCTGCCGCCGTCGAGGAGGAGGTCCTTGACGATAACGAGCTGACGCGCGAGATGGTGGCCAAGTGGAAGAAGTTGATCGAGGAGAAGCAGAGCTTGCGCGCCGCGAGACAGGTCGTACTGGCCTTCCGCTGTGCGGCCCACCTCAACGAGGACGACGCGGACGATGAGAAGACGCAGAGATATACCATCTCCAGCCCCGAGGTCTTCCACGACATCTTGATCGTCGCCCTGAAGCAGATTCCTGAAATCATTTCGCACCACCTGCCCATCAAGGAGTCTGCGTCCGGTAAGATATACGTGCCTACCGACTCGAAGAAGTTCCACACGCTCTCCATGATGATCAAGACTTTTACTGCGTCCATCATCCATCTTCTCAGCACCCTGTCCGACGATGCGACCCTAAAGCTCACCATTGGCTCATTGGAGCCCCTGGTTCCCTACCTCTTGTCCTTCAGAAAGCTTCTCAAGGCCCTCATCAAGACAGTCGTCAATTACTGGGCTAGACCGGCCAGCTCAGAAACCACCAAGATCACCTCTTTTCTCGTCCTGCGGAAGCTCGTTGTTATCGGCGACAAGGGTATCCGCGAGACAGTTCTCAAGGCTGTGTACCAGGGACTAGTTTCTGGCTGCAGAGCAACAAACATCAACACTATCCAGGGCATCAACCTGATGAAGAACTCGGCCGCAGAACTGTGGGGCATCGACCAAAACGTCGGCTATACGACCGCATTCACCTTCATCCGCCAACTCGCCATTCACCTGAGAAACAGCATCGTCAAGAAGGAGAAGGATGCCCACAAGATTGTCTACAACTGGCAGTACACCCACTCGCTCGACTTCTGGTCATGTGTACTTGCCGAGCACTGCAGTCCCCTGAAGGAGGCGGAGGCGGGTAAGGAAGGTCAGCTGAAGCTTCTGATCTACCCTCTCGTGCAAGTTACGTCTGGCGCAATGCGTCTCATCCCCTCGCCCACATTCTTCCCTCTCCGCTTCCACCTGATCCGCTCCATCCTCCGTCTGTCACGCGCAACCAACACCTACATCCCACTCGCATCTGCCCTTATTGAGGTTCTTGAGTCGGCCGACATGAGACGTTTCCCCAAGGCCTCGTCTATTAAGCCCCTTGACTTCAAAGTCGCGTACAAGGCGCCCAAGTCGTACCTCCGCACGCGCGTCTACCAGGATGGCGTTGGTGAGCAGGTCGTCGAGCTCCTCAGCGAGTACTTCACCATATGGGCCAAGAACATTGCGTTCCCCGAATTCACGCTGCCGGTCCTTATCCAGCTGAAGCGCTGGGTCAAACAGGCGCGCAAGACCAGCACGGGCAACAAGAACAACAAGGTCATCTCGCAGATCGTGCTGCTCGTGCAGAAGCTCGAGGCCAACGCCAAGTTCATCGAGGAGAAGCGTGCCAAGGTAGAGTTCGCTCCTAAGGACCGCGCGCAGGTGGATGCGTTCCTGCGCGACTTTGACTGGGAGAAGACGCCTCTCGGCGCCTTCGTCGTCGTGCAGCGCAAGATCAGGGACCAGAAGGCCAAGGCACTCGAGGACGCGAGGAAAGAGGATGAGAAGAAGCGCAAGGAGGAGGAGAAGGATGCTCTTGCCGCGAATGCGGAGGACGACTCTGAGGAGGAATACGCCGACGAGTTGATGGATGATGAGGCAGATGAGGTGGAGGAGGAAGACGATGATGAAGACGAGGAGGATATGGAAGACGACGAAGAGTAGACTTGTGCGGCTTTGGAGAGTCGAACAAGATATAAAAAAGTGTTTTATGGCGTCGCCCCCTAATACGTTGGTGTTCAGGTATATATCATGGTTGTTGAGACATAATCCTGAAGTCTTTTGCCCTCAATCCAAGCATCGTCCTACATGAGAACCGGAGTTTTGATAAGTAAGCATCTGTTGATTTTTATTTTTTTCTTCCCCCTTCAAGGCCTTTGCCAAGCCAGCGTCGTAGGTCAACTTGTCTTTGTGCGTGTAGATGGCCGCCTGTGTCAACCCGTTTGCAGACGAAAGACACGTTTACCCATTAATGATGCAATAGGAAGACAGACGTCGGCACAGACCGAGAACCAATTTAAGGGTGCTGCTTACACCAGCACCTAATTACAATTTGGCGAACGCGCTTACAAGGGGCAGCCAAGCATCCCTTCTTCGTACCTAACTAGTGTTCCTTCTGTTAAACGTCTGCCTGGACAACCCCTAACCAACACCTGACCAACACCCGTTTCAACTTGGCCTCACGTGTCCTCGTTTTCCAACATTTCGTTCCTTCCGCAACAACGCGGCGTTTCGGTATTGGCGCATCTTGACGACTCGATCGTACTACCTACAAGATCTCATTGGATGTGGTGAGCCATCGCAGCCATGGCCCCCCTTGCGGCAGATCCCCGCCAGCTCGCAGTGGTGCTCAACCACGCCCGCCGCAAAGCGTTTTATACCCTTTTATACGACATCACGAGCTATATGCGCTCCCTGCTCGAGCTCAAGGATGATGATCAAACCACCTCGTCAGCTACCAACCCGACCTCGCCTTCGCTGCAGGACCGCAATGCCCCACTCTCCGCCCCGGACGCCGGCCAGGGCGGTCGCAGCAGCAGCCCTAGCCACCCAGATCGCGGAGGCTCCGGCGTACACACCGCCCAGCTTCGTGTCCTAAGAAGAGCAGCGCTGAAACACTTTGACGAGTGGCGCAAGGACATCCTGGAGAAGGTCAAGGAGATCGCATCGGCTAGAGATGATGACAAGATCCTCGAGGCCCGGAAGAAGCGACTGGATGAGATGGAGAAGCTGAAGTATGAGTCGCCAGGAGTGGGCGAAGATCTGATTAATTTCGGAGACGTGCCGAAGGCTGCGTCGACCGAAGTTGACAAGGAGGTGGCCATCCTGCAGGAGCACTATCATCCGATTCCGAATCGATTTACGACCATTCCAGTGGAGGACAGAAAAGAGGTGCTCAGCTGCTTGTTGGTGCTCATCTTGTCTACCGGAAGCTACTCTGCACACTCAAGAGTCCTGGCTTTGTACCTCACCTCTGCTTTTGGACTCCCGCTGTCAACGCTCATTTCAGAGGAGACTGAGATCGCCAAGTCCCTGGTTGAATCCTCGACTTCGACTGAGAACCAAAAGGCTAGCATGTCAGCCGAGGCAGAAGCTGCGAAACGGCGCCAGGAGAATCAGAAGAGCCGTTTCTGGAAGGTTGGTCTGGCTTCGGTGGCCGGTGCTGCTGTGATCGGAATCACGGGTGGCCTGGCAGCCCCAGTCGTTGCAGGTGCGATCGGTGGCCTCATGGGAAGTGTCGGACTTGGTGGTGTCGCCAGTTTTCTCGGTGTCTTCTGGATGAACGGCGCCCTTGTCGGCACACTTTTTGGTGCCTTCGGTGCCAAGATGACAGGAGAAATGATGGATACCTACGCCAAGGAAGTCGAAGACTTCCGCTTCCTCCCGCTCAAGGACGAATGGGGCCAGGACTACAAACGAGCCGACGCCGAAGGCAAGCAAAGAGCGCGGCTTCGTGTGACGATTGGTATCAACGGGTGGCTGAATGAGGAGGGCGACGTGACGAAACCCTGGCGCAGCTTAGGTGACGAGTCAGAGGTCTTTGCCTTGCGGTATGAGATAAAGTCCCTCCTCGCTCTGGGCCGAGAACTGGACTCCCTTGTCTCATCGTACGCCTGGAGCTTTGTCAAGGTAGAAATCCTTAAGAGAACCGTACTGGCTTCTCTATGGGCTGCACTCTGGCCTGCCTACCTCATCAAAGCTGCTTCACAGATCGATAATCCCTTCAACCTAGCTCGCAACCGGTCCGACAAGGCTGGACGAGTGCTCGCCGATGCGCTCATTGCCAAGGTTCAGGGAGAGCGGCCCGTGACGTTGGTCGGCTATTCGCTTGGTGCACGCGTCATCTACTCATGCCTGCGCTCTCTGGCCGAACGTCAGGCATTCGGGTTAGTCGATACCGTGGTATTCATCGGTGCCCCTGTGCCGTCCAACAGAGAGCACTGGCAGGTTCTGAGATCTGTGGTATCCGACCGCATAGTGAATGTGTACTCGGAGACGGAC